TCTTAACAACATGAGATACGCAGATGACACTGTGCTGATAGCAAACACTGAAAGGAAACTACAAAACCTCATATAGAAGGTAGAAAAAGAAAGCGAGAAGAAAGGACTAAGCATAATGTACAAAAAGACAGAATGCATGGTCATCAGCAAGATGAGCCCGAAATACGATTTATAGGTTGGAGACGCTAAAACCAAGGAAATGCGGAAATTTAAATATTTGGGAAGTGTTGTGGCATAGGACGGTAAGTGCGACGCTGTGACCCGAAGACCTATTGGGATAGCCAGAGACAGATTCCGAAAGCTAGGTAGAATATTACGAAACAGAAGGATTACATGAGTAACAAATAAAAGATTACTGAACTGCTACGTGATATCTGTCCTTCTTTACGGCAACGGATGTTGGACGGTCTCCTCTAAAAGATAAAGAAGGGACTCGAGGCAACAGAGATGTTGGTCTACAGGAGGATGCTAAGTATACCATGGGCCGAACATGTGAGCAAAGATGAGATATTGGAGAGGATGCAAACAAAAAGAAAACCCATACTTAACATAAAGAAGAGGCAGCTGAAAATTCTGGGACACCTAATGAGAAAGGACGGCTTGGAAAATTTGATACTCACATGGCGGATAGAGTGAAAGAGAGACAAGGAAAGCAACGCGCTACATGGTCAATGGGCAAGTGGACGGCAGAATGGGGCCTGGGACACGACACAGAAAAGAAGATTGAAAAAGCCATTCCATTATTCTAATCACTTTCTTCTTGGACCATAACAAAACGGCTCTCGTGGTATGTACAGAATCGTTGTTTTGTTGGGAGATGAATCGTCTATCTTGTTTTAAGCTGTTTCTTTGTATAGTTCCAGTAGTAGTAAACGTCTTTTAAATGGTGTGAACACAATTCCTGGAAATTCCTAGCAACTTGACCGATTCTTGTTGAGTCATCTTAAAAGTTACAACCTCAGCTTTGTTTTAGCAGTCGTTTTAGACATGAATTTAGAGTAAAAAAATTCAAACTAATGTTCAACTACAATGTCTTGCAAAGTTACATTCCACTAAAATTAATCAAATGGAACAATTCCGACTTAGAAAGATTCTATAATATCATGATTTTATTGTCTCAGAACTGTCATTGACCCAATAGTTTTGCAGAGCCTCTTCTTCAGCTTCATGTTGCTTAAAGCGATGAATCATTAGTTAGACGGCGCTCAGGAAAACGCAACAACTTATTTTCCAATCCACAAAGTCCACAGTTACAACTGATAAAAGCATACCACTAAATAATCTTAACTTCATATGTAGTTAGTAAAAAAAATTGCATACCAGTATATATATATATATATATATATATATTATAAATTAATTGATTTAAAATATGTTTTTTTTCGCTACACAGTTCCAACCATGTTTCAAAAATAGAAGCTAAAAACCCCGAATTTAATTTTGCAATTAAATTAAAAGCATTAGTTCCATTTCATCTTCAAGCGAATTTTGGAGTAACTTTTAAAAATTACCGGGTTTTAAAGACACAGCTAAAACCACGTTTCCATGGTTACAGAATATTCTACTTAAATTGAACAAGGGATGTCTAGATTTTCCTTATGTCAGTATCATTGTATCAGTTATTAGCTGCAATTTGGTAAGGGGTAGGGATGTATTTTTAAAACACATCCCTACCCTTTAATTTTTTAATTTAATTGAAAAAATTAAATTGGGGTTTTTATTTTCTTTTATTTTTGAAACATGGTTAGAACTATTCGAAAAAACATATTTTAAATCAATTAATTTATAATATTAATATCTGTAAATTTACATTGAGCACTATTTTGTAAAAATAAAAATATCTATAAGAACAAAGGATTTTTATATCTTACTGTTCTTTATATTTTTTTTATATACATACATACATATATATATATATATATATATATATATATATATATATATATATATATATAAGTTATGAAGAACTTGGTAATCCGTATGGGGAATCCCAAGGAGGATGAAATTGAGAGCTCAATGTAAATCCAGATATAATATTTCAAAAAAACAGACCACTTTAAAAGGACTCTAGTGAAAAAATCATTCCCTGTAATTTTAATTTTAAAGTATTCTGTTTTTTTTTTATATTCTAAATATTATATATATATATATATATATATATATATATATATATATATATATATATATATGTGTGTGTGTGTGTGTGTGTGTGTGTAAATAAATATTTATCTTAAGGTGTGCTTTATTCATGGAATAAAGTGCTCAATATCAGAGATTTATATTAATGTAAATATAAAAATAAACATGTTTGAATCCTCTTGAAATCTTTATCTATATATTTATATATTTATATATATATATATATATATATATATAAATATAATATATATATCAACATTAGAATGATAAAAAACGATTTTTGTTTCATGCTAGATGCAATTTCAGACCACAGATTGCATTAGCAAAAAACAGCCTGTTAAAATTCTAAGTTTTCATTTTAAATGTTTTTTATATATATATATATATATATATATATATATATATATATATATATATAAGAAGAGAGAGAGAGAGAGAGAGAGATAGATAGATAGATAGATAGATAGATAGATAGATAGATATTTAAATATTTTTTATATAATTAGTACATGATTTCAACTTATTTCAAAGTGGTTATACACATATAAAGAGATGTAAAAAAAAAGCTACAATGTAAGTAAAATAAACTCTCATGAATCAATACTAAACAATACGTATTTGTAAGTATGGAAGCATCCACGTGAAACTGCACATATATTTGTGTAGATACGAACGCAAGTCGATTATTTTGAAAAACTATAAATATATTTATATCGAACAAACTGCGTGATCTTGTCCGGTGTTCTCGCTTTCTAATATTGACCCTCAAGGAATCCATATCCACTCGTAACGCAATCATATACCGACGTGCGGGCTGGTGGTATCAAATATTAGGGGCCAGTGAAAAAAAAAAAAATTCAATTTACTTCGAAAGTCAAAAGAAAGGCCCAAACCTGACAAATTTGTTCCTTTTAGTCAATCCAGTCAATCAATCCGAAAGTTCAGAGATAGGATGCAGAATATTTTTAATCAATGACAGGATACATATATTCTATTTATTATTATGTATATTTTCTCAGCTATTTCGAATCATCTTTTTTGCCTCAGGATATTAAATAAATCTCTTTTATATATATATATATATATATATATATATATATATATATATATATATATATATATATATGCGTATAGGTATGGATAATTTCAAAGAGGATATAATCCAGAGAGTAAATGGATGACAATAAAGCAATTATTAATTAATTTTTTTAAAAAAGAGACAACTTTAAGATTCCATGACTATAATTTATTTCCACATATTTTTATATTTTTTTTATATATATATATATATATATATATAAATATATAGTTGGATTCATGTGAGTTTGTGACACTGGGTTTCATGCTCTTTGCGATCGATCGTCAGGCAAATACAATATATAAATAATAAATATAAAAATTGCATATAAATATATATTTATATTTATATGCATACACATTTTGCATATATATACATATATATATATATATATATGGGGTATATATGTTTGAATATCTATCATACATAAATGAAAACATTATATAAATACATACATGCAACAAACTATCTCTTATTTAACACTTAATGTATTTCAACCTTGAAATTGGCTAAATGTATAGCCGAAAGCGCTCGGAAAAACGAACATTCGGACAGTTTTTTATATAATTTATCATCTGAAAAGAAAAAAAATGTTAGAACACATGAGAAATTGTATAAAAACTAAATTAAAGCCTCTTGTCTGTCGCATTCAATGAAATGTGCACACACACACACACACATATATATATATATATATATATATATATATATATATATATATATATATATGGTGCAGCCACTCGTATCCGATGATGTCAAGTTAAGAAGAGTTGAAATTAATGAATACAGGGTTTCATAGCTTTAGAATTATTCCTTCATAGTCTCATCCTATTTTAAGACGATAAACTATTCCAGCAGCAACGCCCCTGATAAGGAAGTTTTGAGGAGCGTGGAACCACCTCTTAATTGCTGCTGTTCCCAGTTCCACCCTGACACGAGGTGGTAGCACCTGTTAGGGTCCCAGCTATGGGAAAATAGTTAACTATTACCAGCAATACATTTTTTTTTAAATTTTGAAAAAATTATTGCTAGCATTATTAGCATAACAATTTTGAAGGAAAAATATTACCAGAAACAGATTTTTGACAAAACAAAATAGTACCAGCAATGAAAAGTTTTATCGGCATTAAATAATCCATTGAGATTGATATGCCGTAAAACAAAATAAACCAAATCAATCTAAACTTAAGAATACATATTCTATTTATATGAATCTATCATAAAAATGTTGTCGGCATTAAATAACCCATTGAGGTTGATATTTAAACAAAATTAAACCAAAAATTCATAAAATAAAAAAAACAATTATATTAAATAAGAATCTATCCAAAAAATGTTGTTTGACATTAAATAAATTTATTTTATATTGAATCTATTTTTTTTTAAACGCTTTTCAATTAAACCAAATTGGCACTAATTATATTCATACGAATTTATTAAAGGTGCATTAAATAACAGTTGAATATGGTTTCAATTTAAACAAAAAATAAACCAAACCAAACCTGATTTTCATAGTTATTCTATGATTTTTTTCAGACCATATTTTGTAAATAACCATTCTTGAATTTTTAACTACTTTTGTATTGAATCTGAATGTTATACCGTGAAAATCAGCTTGGTTGGATGCTCAATAGTCAGGAATTAATACATTTTACAAATAGTAGCAAATTATTATATCCATAGTTTTCATATTGGTCTACTTTTATGCACCATGTTCATTTAGCAAGTAAATTTTGAGCCGTTACCAACCTTTACTGTTCTTATTCTGTTATGCATTACCAAAATGTCTTTAAGTAAGTTATTTCCTGTTCTCATCCCTGTACATTTCATATTGTCTATATTTTTGTTTGATTCACTTTCTTAAAAGCCGTACATATCAATGTCTATTCACCAAAATTCGACTAAATGTTAAAGTATTTTCAACTGTCATCCTGTTTATAGCAAAGGAATTTCATAGTCATCAATATCAGTCTGTTCATATCTATCTATCTATCTATTATCTATCTATCTATCTATCTATCTATCTATCTATCTCAGTCTGTTGTTATCTATCTATCGCATTCTATCCTTATCTATCTATCTATCTATCTATCTATCTATCTATCTATCTATATATATATATATATATCTGTCTGTCTCTTCCTATCTATCCATATTGCTATATACGTCAAGGGATTTATAACATGCCTAGTTAGTTTTCAAGGTGATACAAATCGAGACTCTCCTAGTCTACTTCGCAGAAGATTGATCTATATAACAAATTATAGCCCTAAATAATAACCCTAAATAACTCACATCTATCTATCTATCTATCTATCTATCTATCTATCTATCTATCTATCTATCTCTGTATTTTCATAACTATTTAGTAAGAATATTAAACAGAACGGGAATTAAGACAAAAAAAGATGGCCATTTGTTCCTGCCAAATGATATGAAGGTCGTCCTAAACGGTTTCTAGTCCGGCTCGTTTAACACAAACGCTGGTGTTCCGCAAGACTCTATCTTCGGCCCTACACAGTTCCTGATCTTCATCAATGATCTTACCGATATCATTAGTTCCTAAGTTGGCATCTACGCGGATGGCACCACTATTTCCTGCTGTTAGAATTTTTGGGTAACCTGTGGTACTAGTGAGCCAGCCAAAATGAGCTAACTCATTTTCAAATCCACCAAGAGAAGGGGTAACCAATCAGAAATCTCAAAATCTTCAATCCAACGTCTATAAAGGCAGCCATTTTGTTTTTCTCCAAAAATATCTTCACTGCCAACCTCAGATATCGAAGACCTGAAGAATTGCTGAACAGCTGCTACTAGTGTTATTGGCGTTGTTCCATTGAACACAATACGTACTGCACTGAATCCTATATTTATAGACTTGGCGAACCTGTCCAACAACTCCTGCCTCAGTAGTAAATCTGGTATCGTTGACAAAAGTAACCTGGCTGCTGATCTCGAAAAGGACCTCTAATCTGTGGTTGACTGGGACAGGAAATGGTTTGTAAACTTTAATGCCTCCAAAACGAAACTGCTTTCCTATCCCCACCACAGAGAACTCTCCCTGCCTCCCATCAGAATGGCTGATTACCAACTCGTTCAGAGTTGCCTTGTTACGTCAGCTTGGTCTCACGCTGTCCACAGACCTGAGGTGGAATAAATACATTGAACCAATAGCATCATCTACCGCAAGGAATGTTGGCTCTTTGTGTCGTTCCAGAAAGTTGTTCTCATCTGAGTCTATCCTTCAAATCTATCAATCAACCATCCGTCCTTGCATGGAATATTGCCGTCATATATGTTATGGTGCACACTGTACGTCTCGACAAAATCCAAAAAAGAATATGCAAGATGATAGGTCCTGATCTGGCATCTAGTCTACAATACTATCCGCAGACAGCATGGCTGCCTCCTTCTGTCTCTTCTACAAAGGCCACGGCACGTTTTTCACGGCACGGCACGGTTCTGACAAGTTCTGACGAGATATTTTCGCTGGTTCCCGGACTACATGAATTTTAGCGAGCTACCAGACTAGAATCACGGTCCCACCCTTTCACCGTCAAAACGGTTAAATGTAACTGTCTCTTCTACTCAAACAGCTTCTTCTACTGCACTTCCCGTCTGTGTAACTCCCTTCCGCTTACTTGTTCACCGATGACTATAATCTTCAAATATTCAAGTGTAATGTCAATCAACATCTGACACCCTGAGCTTGTTCCCCGTCCTTCTCTGTATCCTTTCCTCAAACATGCCTCTTTACTCTTTACTCAATCCTCTGAAACCCCTTGCGTGCTAGTGGCACTTCAGCATTGTCTGGGGGGATTTGCCTTAAAAAAAAGATATTTCATTAAATTTCTGAAGATCAAAGTTGACTGGAAAGCAAGAAACTGGGAAGGAGTTCTACAAGCGAGAAGCGCGAGAAAAGAAACTGTTACACTATTTACATTATTCGGACTATAGTCCTCATCTTTGTCGCCATATTTATCACAAAGTTTCGGCCATTGTACGCTCCGGCCTTTTTCATATGGTTGGAATATCGAACTGAACGCTTTGTTTCGGTCACTGGGGTAGACTGTTCTAGTTCCACGTGCCATGTTTAATGGATGTCAGTTATCAGTAACCTCCTGTTAATTCCCATCTCCAAGTTCGCTACTGCCTTAACCGGGTATTGAACTCACCTGTTTTGGGTCCTCTTACTGGATCTAACCAACGCCTTTATCCACTGTGCCATGTTTCTTTGACGATATATTTCTGAGATGAGGTATTATGTACACTATTTACATTATTCAGACTATTGTCCTCATCTTTGTTGCTATATTTATCACAACGTTTCAGCCTTTCAGTATCTGTCTATATTTCTGAGATGAGGTACACTACTTAAATTATTCGGACTATTGTCCTCATGTTTTTTGCCATATTTATTACAACGATTTGGCCTTTCAGTATCTGTCTATATTTTTGAGATGAGGTATTATGTACATTATTTACATTATTCGGACTATTGTCCTCATCTTTTTTGCCATATTTATTACAACGTTTCGGCCTTTCAGTATATGTCTATATTTCTGAGATGACGTATTATGTACGCTATTTACATTATTCGGACTATTTTTGACATCTTTGTTGCCATATTTATTCCAACGTTTCGGCCTTTCAGTATCTGTCTATATTTCTGAGATGAAATATTATGTACACTATTTACATTATTCTGACTATTGTCCTCATCTTTGTTGCCATATTTATTATAACTTTCAGTATCTGTCTATATATCTGAGATGAGATATTATGTACATGAAATAAATGTTTCAGTTCGACATTCCAACGACATGAAGAAGGCCGGAGCGTACAACGAACGAAAAGCTTTAAGAAATATGGCGACAGATAATGTAAAGAGTGTACATAATACCTAATTTTAATCTGTTGTTTGAACTTCGGGTCACATCTTACAATTAAAAGGAGGTGAGATCTGTCAATCTAGCGGCATTCCATCATTTGAGAACAAGGGAAAAGCTAGCAAACGAACAAAATAAGATATCATATCTATCTATCTATTATCTATTTCTATCTATCTATCTTGACACTCGGTTCATATCTATTAAATCTATCTATTTGTTCATATCTATTATCATATCTATCTATCTATTATCTATCTATCTAAACATTTCATATCTATCTATCTATATCTATCTATCTATTTATCTATCTATCTATCTCACACGGTTCAAACGAATCTATGAAAATAAGTTCATATCTATCTATCTATCTATTTATATCATCTATCTATTTTATTACTCTCCCACGGTTCATATCTACCTATCTATCTATTTGTTCATATCTATATATTATCTATCTATCTATCTAGGTTCATAATCTATCTATCTATCTATTTATATATAATGGTCAATCTATTTTCATATCTATCTATCTATATATATCTATCTATCTATATATCTATCTATCATATCATATCACACCATGACGTTCATATCATCTATCTATCTATCTATGTGTTCATATCTATCTATCTATGTATCATCTATGTTCATATCTATCTATCTATCTATCTATCTATCTATATATCTATCTATCTATCACACACGGTTCATATCTATCTATCTATCAATCATCTATCTATCTATTATCTATCTCAAATATCTATCTGATATTAATCTATGACACTTTAATGTCTCCACCATATCATCTATTTGTTTATCTTCTAGACGGTTCATAGCTATCTATCTATCTATCTATCTATCATTATCTATTATCTATCTATTATCTATCTCACATGGTTTATATCATAAGATCTAATATATATCTATCTATCTCAAACCATGATGGTTAGAGTTGTCGCCTAAAGCTATAAGAATTAGTTCTTGTGCCCAACCCTGATTAGATTCGAAAACAACGTATAATGCAACATTCCGTCAGCCATATTACTGAGTTCCTGTTGTTAAAGTTTGAAATATTAGTACGAAAATATTTGTAGATATTTGGGCTCACCTCTCGTTACCTCTGTTACTAGAATGCTTCTAAAACTTTCCAGGGTTACTGGAAGTTTCTTGTTTGTTTGTTAGTTTTAACGGCATATAAACTCGGACAATTATTTAATTATGAAAATACTTTAAAAATACATTAGTAAACAAGTCTTTGGGTCGTTGGTTCTATCACTCAACAGTTTATCCGCTAGAACGGAATTATTTAGGGTTACAACTTGTGGTATATATCAACCTCCTGCAAGGATTGTTAGGATAATTTCTACTTGTTCTATCCTGACTATGCATGTCATAAAATCCTTGACGTATAGAGCAAGATGGACAGATAGGAAGAGATTGACACAGACAGACAGACAAACTGACAGACAGACAGATAGCTAGCTAGCTAACTAGATAGATAGATATGAACAGATAGATTGACAGAGAGATAGACTGGGATAGATAGAGTGGTAGATAACAATAGGCGAATAGATAGATAGATAGATAGATATGAAAGATAGATAGATAGATAGATAGATAGATAGATAGATAGATAGATCTGTTTATCTTGGATTGAAAAAGAAATTGGGCCAGTAAGAAATAAGCAGATGCCTCACGAGACATACGTGTCTGTAATTTGGGTGAGTAAATGTAAAAATGCGTAGAAAAGAGAGACTGGCTTGATTCGAAGAATCGCCATAAATTAAACGTAGTGTTATTTTGAACATCCAATTTATAAGCTCACTTCAGACTAGAGACAAATTCTCTTCACGAAGGGTTTTATCACATATTCAATAATAACTGATTGATTGTTCTGTTTTAATAGCATATCAACACTGTCGCTCATATGATGACGCAAAGATTTTCCTTATTAAATTTATGAGTTATAAACAATCTCTTGGCCGTTGGTTCTATTACCCCCCAGTTTCGCCTCTAGAACGGAGTTATTTAGGGCTATAATTTGTTGTGTTATTATTTAGTAGATTTGTATACTCTCTATTTCTATCTTCTTGAAAAGATCCCTAGAATGTTTTTTTTTTCACAGTATATGACTTCAGAAATGATGCTCGTTCAAGAGGATATTCATTTTCTTTAGAAATTAATGAATGATATATGTGTATCCTATTCTAATGATTGGTAGGCCGGCCTCATTCTTCGGACAATATCTGAGACCATGATGGCATTCTTCCATAATGTGTTTAATTTTGTTGTTTGTCTGTTAGTTCCATAATTCTTGCTGCTTGCTTTGAATTCACGAGTTTATAGTTGCTTTGAAGGGGTTTCCCAAAGTTAAAATATTCATTTTGAAGCATACAATTGTTGCCGTATCAACTTTTCAATTTTTGACGTTGTCGATATTTTTAAGTACACGACAGAAGACACTTTTTTCTCTTATTAGATTTATCCTGTTTAGTAATTTTACTATTAAGGGCTTGTTTTTCTTTCTCAGTGATGTAAGTACGAATAGCGAGTCTGACAAAACTATGAAGTCGTTTGGTTAATTGTCTGTTATGATATCTATACCTAAGTCTATGGCGATAACTTCAGCACTAAAAATGGCGGATTTGTCATATAAGTGTCTTTGTTTCTAAAAGTATTAGATGCTTTAACAAAAAGGAGAAGAAGAATTGGCTCCAGGATCGATTCTTTTAGATTTAGGGTGTTTCATTAAGACTGATCAAAGTCAGCAGTAAATAAATCAGTGTTATTGGTGAAAATTTTTTTCTTTCTTTATTGGATCATGTTATTTGTCATGGCAAATATGTGGGGGAAAATAATATCGCCCAAATATCCGCCATGTCTTCGGCGGCACACTTCCACTTGATGGTCAAAATTTTTGATGACGTCTCTGCATAGTTGCTTCTCGATCTCCCCAATATGACATTATCTCATCCTGTTGTTGGCTTGTTGGCATAGACCTTACTTTTGAGGTGACCCCAAATGAAGAAATCTAAAGGTGTCAAGTCGCACAATCATGGTGGCCAATTGACTTCACTGTTTCCAGACATGATGCGACCTGGGAAGTGTGCGAAATGCATTTCTATTTGAATGCCCATTTTCATAATCGTCTTTGATAATTTCAACACGTCATTTGATTGTTTATCTTTCCATTGTTTCAACTTCGATAACATATTTGTAGACAATTTGGTTTACCAATGAGTTACCCTCGTATTGGTGTTTTACCTTGTCTATTTTTAGAATTTCTAGATGGTGATTCTTTCAAAAATATAGGGTGTTTCATTAAGACGGATCAAACGTCCGCCAAGTCTCGGCGGCACACCTTCACTCGATGGTCAAAAAGTTTTGATGACGTCTTTGCATAGTTGCACCTCGATCTCACCAATATGCCTTATTATCTCATCCTTCAGCTGTTGAATTGTTGTTGGCTTGTTGGCATAGACCTTACTTTTGAGATGACCCCCAAATGAAGAAATCTAAAGTTGTCAAGTCACACGATCGTGGTGGACTTCGCTGTTTCGAGAGATGATGAAACATGGGAACTTCTCATTCAAATTCTGTTTGAACGCCTATTTTCGTAAAAGGCTTTGATAACTTTAACACGTTGTTTGATTGTTAATATTTTATGGTTGAAATTGACCAAAACTTAAGTGGTTAAATCTGAAAGAAAAAGAAAAAAGAATCATTAGACGCTTAAACTTCATTCATATTTAAAATCGGTCCAACGTATTGTACCAAAACTTATAAGTAAATAAGGAATAGGTAAGTATTGTCCACATATAGTTGAGTCGATAAGCATTCACTTGTTTACGTAATGAGTAAATTCTGTGCTGGTGAGCCAAAGATACGCCACCTAAATCTATTGCTGAGGGGTAAAGACTCACCAGAATGAGATACCCAAAGTGTAAAAGCTTATAGACTCACATTTATACGGCATGCATTTTCCTATATCCAGACTAAAAAAAGCTTATAGACCCTCATCTAAACGGCATGTATTCTCCTATCCGCAGACTAATAAATTGCTTATAGACTCATATCTAAACGGCATGTATTTTCTTATAAGCAGACTAATAAATTGCTAATAGATTCACATCTAAACGTCATGTATTTTCCTATCCACAGACTAATAAAATGCGTATAGACTCACATCTAAACGCCATGTATTTTCCTATCCACAGACTAATAAAATGCGTATAGACTCACATCTAAACGGCAAGGATTTTTCTATCCACACACTAATAAAATGCATATAGACTAACATGTAAACTTCATGTATTTTCCTAACCCCAGACTCATAAATTGCTTATAGACTCACATGTAAACGTCATATATTTATCTTACCCCAGACTAATAAAATGCTTATATACTCACATCCAAACGGCAAGTACTTATCTATCCCCGGACTAATAAAAATGTTATAGACTGACATCTAAACGGCATGCAATTTTCTATCCAAAGTCTAATAAAATGCTTATAGACTCACATCTAAACGGCATCTATCTTCCTATCGGCAGACTAATAAAAAGTTTTTCGACTCACATGAAAAACGGCATGTATTTTCCTATCCCCAGACTACTAAATTCATTATTGACTCACATATAAACATAAATATTCTCGTCTAATATTTACCTTCTCCAGAAACAACTGAATGTTTATAGGCACAAATATAATCAAACATTATTTACCTGTCTCTAAACAAAAAAAAAAAAAAATGCTTATAAACTCAAATACAATCGAACAATATTTAGTTATTCTCGAACTCAGTAAATACTTATATACTCAAATAAAACAACTAATATTTACCTTATTAATTGTCAGTTCAATCACTGGGCCGAGAAAATGGGATCTTCGGATCATGAGAGACAGAGACAGAGAGAGAGACAGAGAGAGAGACAGAGAGATAGAATGTGTACATGTGTGCGTGTTATAAGGTGTCTATCGATCTGAATAATCTCCAAGGAATTCTAAACTTATCACTTTATTTAATTTACAGACGTAACCTGTTCTCCTTCAATGTCTGTGTCTAGAGACATCTCGACTCCATCTTATTTTTAATACTGCTCAGTTGTCTTTCTCTTTGCTCCGACTACCGGCGATCCTTTTTTGATCAAAATGAAATATATTTCTCCAAGTGCTCTAGCACCTATTCCATTGTTCAAATTTAAATTTAATTTAAATCACAGGGTGGCGGGAATTCAGTGGGGTGTTTGTGACCTCAGAGACACCCTTTGATCAAAATGATCTACTATCTTTTGACTTTCACCTTGTATATTTTGCATAGGAGTCATTCCCTTGTTCCAATTTAAATTTAATTTATATGAAAAAAAAAAAAACAAATTTTTAGTGGTGTGGGATTGATCAAAATGAAAGCTTCTTATCCAAGTACCCGGGATTCCCTTGTTCCAATTTAAACATAATTTATTGAAAGGTAAACAAATTTTAATGAAGTCTCCAAAATATATATATATATATCAATATATATATATATATATATATATATATATATATATATATATATATGAGGTTAGGGGGCTTCTATCTGCAAAAATCTGGGAGGGGTTCGATAACAGACAGACAGAGATAGATAAATATATTTGTTATACTAAGACTTTCCCTTTTTTAGCCGTTGTGCACTGTATTTTATTTACTCGGCCAAACTCGGATGAGCGAGCGAGCGAGCGAGAGAGAGAGAGAGAGAGAGAGAGAGGAACCAAAAATGCTTAGATGTT